ATGAAATAGAAGTGGATGTGAAGCACTGGTCACCAGGTGTCTCCCTCTAGTGTTTTACATGGTCTTTTAGAGTATTTAGAGTATTTTATTTTAGTATTTAAAGTATTTAGAGTATTTTATTTACTTTTTATTTCCAATCCCTATGAATCCATTTTATTGGGTTCAATTTTTACAAATAAAAAATGGAAAGTTATTTTTTAAAGCTGTTACTTTTTTAAAAAAGAAAATATTCTTGAATCCATTTTTTATTGAATTTTCAGCTGTAACATCTTCATCTTAATGGTCTTTTTTTTTCTTTCTTTTTTTTTTCTTTTTTTTTTTTTCGTTCTGAAGTGAGAATGAACGTCGGTGTCTTGAGTAAGTTTGCAGCCAGAGCAGTGATTTCTCTGAAGCAGCTGTTACAATGACAGAGCGGGGTTTTCTCACTGCAGTGTAATGAAGTCTGATGTGTTTCTAACACCCTGTAGTGGGAACCTCTTCAAACACAGGAGTGTTGCACTTCAGGTCATTAGTGGACCGAACCATTGCGTCTGGACCGGGGGTTGTTGCAGCAGACATCAGTGGCTTCACTCGGCTGTGACTGAAACAGTGTGGATTCAACTGGCAAGGTGTGACAAACTTCACCATTAACACTGTCAGCCTGTCAATGTGGTGGAGGCCCCAAGGCACTGAATGGAAACTCTCTCTCTCTCTCTTTCTCATTCTTTTTTTCCCCCTCCGAAACTCTCCTGTCAAAGTGATTTATATATTTTAATAGATTCACAGATTCGTCTCTGGGTCATTTTCTGTTCGACATGGGGAAAGTGACTTAATTAAACCGCTGACATTATTAAGCACGACTGTGGCCTTTTTTTCTTTCTTATTATTATTATTCATTTACTACCTGACCTTTCCTCTGGATTCTAACCAGCAGCTGATTCCTAAACACACACTGTGTCGCACGAGGGAAAAGTCAAAGAAAAAGGGAAAGAAAGAAAAAGGAAGAAAAACATGGGACTGGTAAAAAGCTGCACTCAAAGGCTACGCTGCAGGAGTTTTCACTTCCTTCTTTGTCTCCTCTGCTCAGTGTGAGCGGCGGACATGCTTTGAAGAGGCGGTTTAAGATACACACACACACTCTCACACACACACACACGCAAATGTGTGTCTTTTTTTGTCTGTTTAATGTTTGAGAGGAAAAAAAGTGCTAATAGAGCATTGTGTGACATATGAAATCCAAATTTTGTTTGAAGACGATTTCTCAGTAAAGGCTAGAACTTCAAATAGGCGAGAGCTGACATTTACATAAGTCCAAGAAGAAAAAGACTTTTTTTTTTTTTTTACCAAAACCAATTTACTGCACTTGTTGCTCAGGTTGAAGTCATATTCAGCTAAAGAAATTATTCATTGATTATAATTTTTTTTTGCTGAAAAGACCCAGACTATTACATAATCAAACGCCTCAAGCTAAAAGGCACACCAACCAATGACACTGAAAGGGCAGCGATGACAAACAATGCTGCGAAGTTCCCACTCCCCAGTCAATCTACTGACTTTGCCTCAGGCCAAAGTCATGAAATCACACTTTGTTACCAGGTACAAGAGTCGGTATTTAGCCAGCAACGACAACGACAACGAAACAAAAAGTCTCATTTAGATTGTGTTGTAAAAAGTGTCTTAAACGCAATAAGAGCTAACGACAACAACAGTCCTGGTACAGACACCTGTCATTTAAAAGTCTCTTTTTAAATGACACAACAAAAAAACTAGTCCCTAAAACCAGTCCTGGTACAGACACCAGACCTAACGTTAGCTCTGGTCTCTGTACCAGGACTGTTGGTACAGACACCAGAGCTAACTTTAGCTATAACAGTCCTGGTACAGAGACCAGAGCTAACGTTAGGTCTGGTGTCTGTACCAGGACTGTCGTAGCTAACGTTAGCTCTGGTCTCTGTACCAGGACTGTTATAGCTAAAGTTAGCTCTGGTGTCTGGACCGGGACTGTTTTAGCTAACGTTAGCTCTGGTCTCTGTACCAGGACTGTTATAGCTAAAGTTAGCTCTGGTGTCTGTACCAGGACTGTTGGTACAGACACCAGAGCTCACGTTAGCTACAACAGTCCTGGTACAGAGACCAGAGCTAACGTTAGGTTAGCTATGTATAAATACACATATCTGAGATGTCAATGTTAATGAGTAAATGTGTTGCTTGAAGCTCGAGCTCAGGTGCAACATATATATAGTAAGTCTGTGTGTTGATGAAAAAGAAACAATGGTTAATTGTAGAGCCGTGCACACACAGTTGATTAACACCCAGTCCCCATCTCAACATGCTGGTGCTGATTTTAGCAGCAGCAGCAGCAGTAACAGTAACAGTAACAGCACAAGCAGCAGC